GCTGTGATGAACATCATAGCAAATACACAAATCTGAATGGCTGTTTAAATCATTTAAACACAATTCAGAAACAGAAAGTAGAGCAGCTGCTTTGTTTACAGGGTTTCATTTAAATGAATTATTATTATTATTATTATTATTATTATTACTATTTCTGCAGTTTAGCGCCATCTACTGTCAGAGAGTGAAAGTGCGCTTTCATCCAGAGCGTCTCTCACATGTTCCGCCATGTGCTTCTTGTCCCCACTTATTTACATCAGAGTGCGCACACGTCTTTCACGCAGCATACAGCGGTGTTGTGCATTTTGATAGTTGATGGGAAAAGTATTCTTAAAATGCATTCAAAATTCTGAATAATTTGTAATATATAATTATTCACGGTATTTAGAAGAGCCCACGATAACAATATCTTGCATATTCATTACCGTGATATATCGCATTACCGAAAACCGGCACAAGTCTAGTGCTGATTAATATTTTTGTGGAAACCATTATACATTTTTTCAGGATTCTTTAACGAATAGAAATTTCAAGAGAATAGCATTTATTAGAAATACCAATTTTTTTGTAGCATTATAAATGTCATTGTCACTTTTGATCAATATAATGCTTCCTTGTAAGATAAAATCATTCATTTCTTTAAAAAATCTTACTGGCCCAAAGCACACAAGTGTTTTCAGTGGTTAATTTTTTTCCTTATGAAGTTTCTATGATCACTAAGCTGTTGTGAATATTCCTCCATTTTTTTTCTTATTCCATTTAAAAAATACAAATAAAAACGACATAAGGGTGAGTACATATTAACAGCATTTACATTTTTGGGTGAACTAGTGCTTTAAATGAGGGGGAGGAAAGCAGGGCTGGATTAAACCGTGAAGCATCTCTCCCTCTTATCTCTCGCTTCCTTCTCTCAGTGTGCATGTCGTACAGAAGAGAGGAAGAACATTCTGATCTATATTTAGAGGCTAAGGCAGAAAAAGCATCCTACCCACCTCAAGGCCCAACATAACCCTCCGGCACATGTACACCCCTCCAAACACACAAATCAAGGGCAATGCTCTGTCTTTGAGATGAATGGATTTTTTTGTGTGTGTGTGTATTGTATTGTGTAATGTGTATTGATGTGAATTGATGTTAGTAAACACTATGGGATGCAAGACATTTTTTGGAAGAAATTCCAACAATAAAGTGAAAATTTAATTGAATTTAATTGAATTAAATGTATAATTTATATATCCTGTGGAGTGCCTGGCCATTAGACAACCTGACCGAATGGTTTAAATTTTGTGGAACCTAAGAAAGATGGAGAGCGAAGCATGGAGAAAAGAGAAAGGGAGGGAATCTGAGAGAAGGAAGCGCTTCGTGCTTTGCATGCTAAGTTGCTTTTGTTTCAAGGCTGCTTCTTTCTTGTAGATGCACTGGCTATGTCTGTTTTGGAACAGACACATCAGACTGGATGAATATTCCCAGCATTCACAGCAACAGGGGCTCAGTAAATAATAGCAGAGAAATGTGTTCTGCTCAAGTTATCAGTCGTTCTCTTCTCTCACTAATGGTATTCAGCAGATGTCATCGTGGCTTAGATTCATTTGATGACCTGTTACGCAATGCCACAGGCTGGTGTTAGCATTGAGAGCTTGTTGAGCTTATCATCCCAGTAGAATTAAAGAGAGAGATCACCCAAAAATTACAATTCTGAACATATACTCACCTTCATGTCATTCCAAACCTGTATGACTGGCTTTCTTTTCACCAAAAGAGATTTCACAGAATGTCCAAGCTGCTCTTGTGCTCTCGTCCATAAAAAGACGGTGGATAGGCTGCCAAGCTCAAAAAATGACAAAAAGCACAAATAAAGCATCGTAAAAGTAGTTCTATGAATTATGCACTATATTAATATAGTCTTCTAAAGCTATATAGGATCACAGGATTAGACTGAATGTAGGGTTGTCACCATTTACTTTCATTGTATGGAAAGGAGCAGCATGGACATTCTGCTGAACATCTCCTTTTGTGTTCCGCAGAAGAAAAGATTAATACATGTTTTAAAAAGACACAAACAATGCAAAACAATGACAGAATGAAAGTTTTTGGTTGAGCTATCCCTTGAATAAACTAATTTTCCCCCGTGGTTGTTAAATGCTCTATTGTAAGTTGCTTGTTTATTGTTTGCAAACAGATGCGATGGAAATTGAATTATTAACTATTAAACTCAGTTGGCATATATGATGCTTCAGTGATGATTTTCTAGTCACATGTACTCTGAACGTAATCACATATGGTTGTCTTAGAGATCTGTGGTTAGTCATTAACCACCCTATGTTTCCATGCTATGAGGCAGCACTCGGTTTTATTTTGGGCTTTAAATTCAGTCTTCAGCTTTGTGTAATTTCTGCCAGAATAGCTTCGTCTGGCTCTCATCTGCTTGGCCTCAATTCACTTCAGATAACATGACAGACGGATTTGTTCAAGTGTTTTACTCTTTAACGCTCTGCAGTTTGTCACAACGACAGACAGAAAAAGCTTTAAATGTGCTTTGTAAGCAAAAGCTTTTAAGACTGAGTTTTAAAAGAATTATTTCTTTCTTTATTAAAATTATACCTAAAATAATCACAAAATGGTCTGTAAGCATTAACCAAATGATTCTGTTCTCTATAATATAATAATATAAAAGCCCTGTTTTTTTTTTTTTTTTTAAATAAAAGTTACAAGATATTCTGTCCATTAACATTATGGTTTGTCCTAAAAAGTGCATGAGACTTCTGATTTCAATCAGACAGCATTATAGAAATGCTGTGGTGTCTATCAGGCCTCGGTAGACCCATAATTTTGTCATCTCATGCCATCTAGAGGACAATGTGAAACGTATTTATTAAAAAGCATGCCTTAAATGCTGGAATTAATGCTTTGTATTCTTTAGAGACCCGGCAAAATGTCAGTTTTGGCATTTAAAACTTTATTTAGCATTACATATTACAAAAAAAAAAGTTAAAGGAGGTGCTCTTGCACACTTCAGCTCTAAAGATACATTTTGCAAGATGTAAAACTGAATTACTGTCAATAACTTATTCACAATATTATGTGTTAAACCTTCATTGGGGAGTCATTTAATGTCTTTTTGCTATGTAGTCTGGAAAGAGTCATCAGTTACATCTACAGTATGTTCACATCTGCACACAATGGCTCCACCTTATGGCCATTATTGGTCACTAACCAGTCCTGGACTTGTTGATTTCCACAGCTGTTCACTGCAATCTGACCCAGAATGGGATTGACCATCAGGTGTGTGCAGAGGATGTGACCTCACACCTGGAGGAAGTGTCTGTTGATCATGGACTGGATGATGACAGCCAAGGCTTTCAGGACCAGAGTCCTGGTTTCCAGCGACGATCTCCACCTCAGCGCTCCGTCTCAGAATCTGAGCTCTCCAGGGTGAGAATAGATTCAAGACTATTACCATGATCTCAAACACTAATGACTGCTATAATTATGCTACCGCTTAAAAGTTTAGGGTCTGTAAGATTTTTAAAAGAAATCGTAAAAAATATTTTATGCTCACCAAGGCTGCATTTATTTGCTCAAAACTACAGTAAAGTAATATTGTGTAATGTTGTGATATATTATTGCAATTTAAAATAAGTTTTCTATTTTAATATATTTTAAAATGTGATTTATTCCTGTGATGGTAAAGCTGAGTTTTCAGCAGTCATTACTTCAGTCTTTTGTGTCACATGATCCTTCAGAAGCTATTTTAATACGCTGATTTGGTGCTCAAGAAACAGTTATCAATTTTGAAAACAGTTGGGCTGCTTAATATTATCAGATTCTTTGAAATAGATATCTTTTATAAAATTATTAGGTTTTTTTTCTTTAAAATGTTTTACTGTCAGTTTTGATTAACTTAATGCATCCTTGCTGAATATAAGTAAAAACTTTTGAATTGTTGTGTATAGTAGAGAATCTCACTAATTTTGGAGATATACAGTGGGTACGGAAAGTATTCAGACCCCCTTAAATTTTTCACTCTTTGTTATATTGCAGCCATTTGCTAAACTCATTTAAGTTAATTTTTTTTCCTCATTAATGTACACACAGCACCCCATATTGACAGAAAAACACAGAATCGTTGACATTTTTGCAGATTTATTAAAAAAGAAAAACTGAAATATCACATGGTCCTAAGTATTCAGACCCTTTGCTGTGACACTCATATATTTAATATATGGGGTGCTGTGTGTACATTAATGAGGAAAAAAAATTAACTTAAATGATTTTAGCAAATGGCTGCAATATAACAAAGAGTGAAAAATTTAAGGGGGTCTGAATACTTTCCGTACCCACTGTAAAAAGGCTGAATACATCCCAAAATGTACCTTATTGTTGTAGTATTAGTGACAGTAGATTACATTGTATTTAAATCTTATCAAATTATAGATATACACAAGGTTCATCTACCAAAGCACAGTGGTTTACTTTTGCTTATTATCTTTAATGATTCTTACATGAATGAATATTACAAAAGAAAATGCTTATCTTGTCACCTGCCATATTGTAAGAAATGCTTGGCTTTGCGTGTTTCTTCGAGACACGTGTAAATTGTGACTTTTGGCAATCGGAAAATCTGGGCCCGTATTTATCAAGATTCTCAAAGTGCCCTTTTAGTCTCAAGTGCTGAGAATTTATTAAATTTACTCCTACTTTCAAACTTTAAATTTCTTAAAGCTAAGAATCACTCTTACTCTCCCACTTATTTAAGACAGCTCGAGAGGTCTCTCAAGTGGTTAGGAGTTGCCAGTAGGGGCTTGTGATGGCGCTGAGGAGACCGAGACATGCGCAAATCTTTCAGGAGAGGAAGAATGTTCTTGAAATGTTTGACGACGAGCAGTTAATAAAACAGTTACATTTCCTCAGATATTCAAACAGAAACGAGCAAAGAGGATTTGCATTACCAAAGAACATCATAACTGACTTCAGTCTAGTGCGAGTAGTATATGCTCTTTGAATTCATAAAATTTTCTCCTACTTTCAAACTTAAGCATAGAAGCAAGTTATCAAATTTCTTAAAGCTAAGAATCACTCTTACTCTCCCAGTTATTTAAGACAGCTCGAGAGGTCTCTCAAATGGTTAGGAGTCACCAGTAGGGGTTTGTGATGGCTCTGAGGAGACAGAAACGTGCGCGAATCTTTCAGGAGAGGAAGAATGTTCTTGAAATGTTTGACGACGAGCAGTTAATAAAACAGTTACATTTCCTCAGATATTCAAACAGAAACGAGCAAAGAGGATTTGCATTACCAAAGAACATCATAACTGACTTCAGTCTAGTGCGAGTAGTATATGCTCTTTAAAAACACTCCCGTTATAATCAGTGAAGCTACAGTGGGTACGGAAAGTATTCAGACCCCCTTAAATTTTTCACTCTTTTTTATATTGTAGCGATTTGCTAAAATCATTTTAGTGAA